CCCCGCGCCCAAGCGCCCTGTTCTATTACATTAGACTTAAATAATCAAGGAACTGATCTAACAGCCCATTGTTCATTGAGTGGACTAGTTTCAGTTATCATGCAAATGTACTGTTATATGGTTGGGGAAACCTGCAGTCAGCTGCAGAAGTCAGTTGGATGAGTGACAAAAAGTTTCCCTCACTGAAAATTAACAGAATCAACCATTTTTTTTAGGATTTACTTACCTAAATGATTGAGCATGCATCAATACATAGACTTAAAGAAATTGTAGAAGCTAAATTGTTATCAGAAAATATACCCAGTACTCTCAACATTGCATTTCCAGTTCCCTGGAAGCAATAACTACAAATGGAAACTGGAGGAGCTCTCTGCAACAAGAAATCTTTTTCCTACCTTCAGATAAACAGAGATTGCCAATCAAGCGTTCTGTCTGTTGCTGACAAGTCGCTGTTTCATTGATTTTGTTCAGCAGGGTTTATATGAACCCAGTGGTGATAAGGTTAACCCTTGGTGCTTTCAAACATTTTGAACTCACTATGATAAGGAATCCCACTATTCCAGCCAGAAATGTGAAATGAGACCACATTTCCAGAAAGATTGTCTTCTTAGGGTGACGTTTTAGCTCAGTGCGTTGAGCAGGCGCCCACTTCAGTCCTTGAGCATCAGAGCAAAAGAAATGCAATGAGAGTTTTTTATTTACAGTTTGATAAATCTTTGTAGCCCTATGACAGGCCTTGGTTGCCTACTGCAGCCAAGGCCTGTCATAGGGCTGCTGCAACTTTAAATCTCAATGAAGTTTGAAGTTTAAGTTTACTTTAGTAATTACAAACATGCATTTTTTAACCTCTGGCTCTAAGTTGGCTATTTTAAATTGAAGAAGATGGGGATTTTAATAGTAAGAAAATGCTCTTATTTCATTTCAGTTATCATGCACTCATTAATTATGTTCATTAGATCGTATTTAGCACATTCACAAGCAAATTCATGTTTTGTCAAACTGACAAAAGTCAGGTGACAATAAGCAGTGCTGGTGTCCAGTCACATCTAACAATATATTTATCATCTTTGTCCTGTGTGTTTTCAACAATGCAAGACTTCCTTGTTGACAACTCCAGCTGACATTAAATTTAATAAAAACATTCAGTAAGCTACATTCTCTTGGATCAGGCATAAGAGGCATGCGTAATAATCAGTGGGACTCAGGCATCAGGAGGATCGGGTCTCATCAGTACGTGTTTAACCCTGTGAGGCCTAAGTCAGTGTCAAAGATAAATGTAATATAAATATAAATAAAATCTAAGATTTGGTTGAAAAATGTTAAAAGTGTTCGCTGATTTGGGAGTGGGAGAATTTTGTTACATTTTCAAATGTCATATACAGTAATCAGTAATCATAATAGAGATTTTTTTTAGTCCTTACAGCGTTGAAAGAATCTTCCCTACTGAAGTCCTTGAGCAAAGCATCAAATAAGTATTTGCAATAAACCAGTCCAGTCTTATCTTTGGAAAATCTAAGTTTAGTTCCATTAACAATAGCATCATCCTATTATTACTTCATTAGACACACTGATCAGCCCCAGTGGCAAGATCCTGATTCCTGGGATCAGAGAGGCTGTAGCTCCCCTCTCTGATGAAGAATGGAAAATGTACCAGGATATCCAGTTTGACATGGACAACTACAAGAATAAGATTGGTGTCAACCAACTCATGTACAGCAATAAGGTAATGTAAGGCATCCTTGGTGTCAGAAGATCATTAAGAGCAGGTGAGTACAATCCAGAATTTAGATTGTCATTACCCTTGCTTCCAATGCTACTGTGAAGAACCTTTTTAACTACTGTTTAAACAAGTCTCTCATATGGCTTTATTTCTTACGTAAAACATTACCAGAACTAGGATGATCCTGAAAAAATAGTTCATCTATTTGCTTCTCTCCATGAAAGTGCTTGGTCATAGGAGATCAACGCTTACAATCTCGTGAGATCTTTACAGGATAAAGCTCCTTAAAATGAGTGTTGTTTTCATTGACAATATATAAGTAAAATTATTAGTGAAAATAAAGAATTATATCCCTCTCCCAAAGGTGGACTTGTTGGCTCACATGTGGCGCTACCCCACAGTCTCCATCCACGGTATTGAGGGGGCCTTTTCAGACCCTGGGACTAAGACTGTCATCCCTGCTAAGGTTACTGCTAAGTTTTCAATTAGGCAAGTTCCTGACATGGACCCTGCTATGGTCAAGAAACAGGTAAAATACATGAAAAGTATGTACGTGCTCTGTTCTGTTGCATTTACTTTTTGTAAACTGCTTCTGCTGTTTTCTTGATGTGCTCTTCTTCAGGTAACAGACTACCTTCACTCTGTGTTTGCCAAAAGAAAGAGTCCCAACAAGCTCAAAGTCACAATGGTGATAGGAGCCAAACCTTGGCTGGCTGACACTCACCATCCACTCTACGAGGCTGGAAAGGTTGCTATTAAGAGAGGTATTGACCGTTCACCTTACTTTAATCACCGGTGATGTTGCTATCAGAATGTCGGGTCTCGGGTTTGATAAACTGCAAATACAATTTCACCAAAACTGGCTCTTACAAGCCAGTTTTGAAGTGTAATAAGCAGAATACTTTGTTCTACTGTCAGCTTATGATGGGGGTTGTTATTATTGCTCAAGCCTGTAGTGCTCGAATCTTTTATAACTGTCAATTACTGACAGTTTTACCCAAATAATCTTCATTTTCATATGTTAACATTACTAGGCAATTTTTTTCATTTTTCGGTCATTTGAATAGACTTTAATGAAACGATAAAGAATTGGGACATTGTGTTGATACTGATTTTCCCTGTCCCACAGCAGTTATAAATGACTTTCGTTGGCATAAGGCCACTCTGTTTTGACAGGAGTACATCCTAAACCTAGTGGAATTAGTAGTAATAATAACAATGATTTCTTAGTTATGATTATGATCACATTGGTGTTTTGGATGGCAGTCTTCAGTTTCCCTTACATAACAGTCTCCTCAAGGCAAAGACTCTAGAGTATTAACGAAAACTGATGACATCAAAGAAGTGGGTTGGAACAGTGGGAATGAAGAACTCTTTTTAATAGGATGAAACTTCCAGAACCAGTCTCAGGGAGGAGCAGTCATCTGCTTTTTCATCATATTTGAAAATGATTCTTGGTGGTTATAGTTATTGTTTAAACTAGTGCTGTCAGCGTAAATCTCGTTAAAATGATGTTAACGCCATAACCGCGTTAATACGGCAAATCTCCGTTAGTGAGTTAACGCGGATCGCCCCGTGCAAGGGCTGCACGGCATCAATGTGTTAGCGCAGTTAGCCTGTTAATCCGTTAGCGCTGTGCAGCCCCTCGCACGGGGCGAGCCGCGTTAAGTCGCTGACGGACATATGCTGCATTAATGCAGTTATGACCTTAACGTCATTTTAACGAGACTAACACTGACAGCATTAGTATATACACAAAGTATTGTAGCGTCTGTTGTATTACAGAGAACTAGGCGACAGGAGTTAGAAACTGACATGATATAGGTGTATGTACTAAAAATCTTCGATGAGATCAAATCCCAGTGACCTTGATCTCAAGGCCAAGGTCAGAGGTCATGTTTTCGAAAATCTTGCGAATGCAACAACGTAGGACCTAGGTGACTTAGGATTTAGAAATTGATACCATGGGCTGAGGGGTAGCACTATAATACAAAACCTGGAGCTCTTAGTTTAGTAGAAACACAAGAAATGCATTTTCAGTGGTTTTGACACAGCCTTAAGATATTGGCTAACTTTTAACTTTTGTATCCTTTTATTATTATTATAGCTTCATTCCTTTGTAGTGTGCTTTGTTGCATTTATATCCTGCAGGAGTTTTGAAAGGTTACCAAAGAAACAGTGTATGTTTTCACCTGTCCTTAATTGTTTAGTATTATAGGAATATAAAAAAATGTGAGACAATGTAAAGAAAACAAGTTAGTCTTTCAATTTTCACAATTAGTCATTCAACCATGCCAGAATAGTTCCCACTTAATGTTCATGTCCACTTTACTAGCAGAAAATATTCTGTCTTTGCTCTACCTTTAGTTTTCAACATGGATCCTGATCTAATCCGTGAGGGTGGAACCATCCCAATTGCCAGGACCTTCCAAGATGTGACGGGAAAAAGTATCATCATGATGCCCATCGGAGGCTTTGATGATGGTCTGCACTCTCAGAATGAGAAAATGAGCAGGTTAGACTGTCTGTACACTCCTGCAGTTTTATTCATTTCACAGAAATGTTTAAAGAAATTAGCTTGTACTGAGTCTTTCTGAGTGTTCAACACAATATTTAAGAGAAAAGCTTGAGGGAGAAAGCTTTGCAGTCTGTTAGAACCATCCACAACTGAAAAATAATTTAACTACCATAGAGACACCATACAGGACCTGGACACAGGAAATTATTTTAACACTGAAACATTAAGCAGACCCAAGTAGACAAATTTTAGGGGCAGATTTGTTGGAATCCAGCATAAGACAACAAGGGTAAATGGGCAAATTCTGGAGAAATCAGAAAAGATGGTTAAAAGCAGACTTCTCCGATTATAAGGTGGATGCTGTGAGACTTAAGCAGCAGATATAAAGACATACTGGTCTGTTTCCAGAGGGCTTTGTAAGTCTTACAAGCTGCTGGCAGCAGAAAAGTGGAACAATGCTTTGGGGACTTCTAAGAAGGTGTAATGTAGCCATCTATTGCTGCAAATAATAGTGTATGTGAATTTATTGTATTTATGTTAAGGAAACTTGGAAATTTGCAACCCAAACAAACAGGACCTTTAACTCTGCCAACCATATTTTTTCTCTCTCTCCTAGGTACAATTATATTGAAGGAACCAAGTTATTCATCGCATACCTGAATGAAGTGTCCCAGATTAAGAGGACTAGTGTGTGATGTTTTATGGTATGATCACATGACCTCTTCAAAAACATTCCAGCTATAGAAAAGTGTGTTTTGATATTTTTACTGTGCCTTTATCTTTATTTCATAAGGTTTTGAAACTTGTGGTGCATTTACTGATCTGCACCTCAAGTCTATCTATTTTTGCATTATCTCGTGGTTATTTGGCTGTTTCCATCTCTTTTGCCAGTGTTTATGTTCACATAAACTTGGGCAGCACTGTGAGTGTGTTTGTATGTGTGTCATGTAGTAAAAGCTGGACAATGCAATATTACGAATACGTCATTTATTTTATGAGAAATACAAAATGTTATTTTATGAATGTTAATAATACGAGAGACATATACAAATACTGTTTCTTTAGCCATTAGTCATTTATTCACTCCTGAAAAATTCACTCTTATAGTATGTCATTCCTTAATCAAATGATTAGTTCATTACCAGGCCTCTGGGGATCTCCAAAACATGTTGAAGAGGTAATTACGCCATTTACAGTCGCTTTGGTGCGTTTCTCACATCACTAGTAACATTTGCACAGCACTTAGTGTATTTCTCAAAACAATTGGTGCAAACTGCAAAACCTAGTGGATAACCTGCAAAAGCAGGTCACTTGCTCAAAATCGATAATCCTCAAAAGCAAGTATTCATGTCAATGAAACTGCCAGTGTCATCAAAATGAGAAGTCGTGACACCATCTTTATGAACAAGATAGTCAAATGGCTTGTCATGTTTTCATTATGACAGTGTACAGTATTCTCTCAGTGTTTTCCAATGCAAAAGAAGGTCAGAACTTGGTGACACTACCTGAAAATGCTCAAGAAAATGCTCCACCCTCTCCATGACTCTGCTGTGATGTTGTCACATGCTGCATCCATGGCTGCTAGCAGGGCCATTTGCACATGTGAATGCCAGTCATAAAACTTCCACCTCCAGGCAGAGAAAAACTCCTCTATCGGATTAAGAAATGGGGAGTAGTGAGGGAGATATTGAACCAGCATTCTGTCATGTGCTGCAAACCACTGTCTGACCAGATGTGAGTAGTGAAAACTGACATTATCCCACACAACAACATACTTGTTGAGTTGGCCTCCACCCCTCTCATTCTCAGGGACTATGTCCCTGTAAAGAGTGTCTAAAAAAGTCAGGAGATGTTGTGTATTGTATGGGCCAAGAAGGGGAATATGGGAGAATGCCATTGTCTGAGATGGCTGCACACATTGTAACATTCCCTCCGCACCGGCTTGGGACATCAGTGGTTGCTCTCTGTCCAATGCGATTTCTTCCACGCCTTCTGCCTTTGGCCAGATTGAAACCCGCATCATCAAAGTATATTAATTACACCGCTTTGAATTTCTTTCAACTTTATTGCATTGTTTGCAATCACCATTGCACAAATGGCTTCATCTTGCTGCGGGGTAAAAAAGGGCCCTCTTCTACCTCTGCCAGGTTGTCTTTCAATCCGTTGTGGTGCAGATTACAGTAAAATTACAATAATGTACACTAAACATGAGATATTACAAGATGTTGGATTACTGTCCAATACTATACATACCTGTTCTCCCTACGAAATGTTTAAATGATTAAATTCACAGTGGTTCTTCCAACACCCTCCGACAAGCCTCATCCAGGCCGTGATTGACAACATGATCAACAAGTGTTGCCCTAATTTAATTAGGAATCTGCCTGTATTTGGCATCTTTTCCCTCTTCCCCTGTTTTGTCCCCCCCCGCATCCTCAACCCTCTTCCACGATGCTGACCTTCCATTTCTGTGTCACAGAATTGTAGAAATGGTACACACTATGGCTGTATCCCAATTCAGGGTCTGCAGCCTTAAAGTATGCATTTCAAGGCCGATTACGTCACAGCGGTGCGCCGAAGGCTGTCCCAATTCAAAGGCTGCTCGAAATGCGGCCCTGAAATGTGTCCTTCATTTCCCTGAATTTTAAGGCTGTGGCAGTGTAGACTTCGTGGCCCAACATATCCCAGAATGCATAGCGCGGCGGCGGGTGTGGATAATTTTGCCGAAAAAAAACGGCGGATGAGGGGCGCCCGAAGAGTAAACTTTAAGTAAGTACTAAATATCATGTCACTTATTCATGTGCAAATGTTTAATGACGAAGAACATTAAAACGTTACTGTTGGCCACATGTCGGCAAAGTTATGTGACATTAGTGACGTTTGTACTAACTTGGTTTTAAAGCCTTTACTTTAAAATATACGCCGTTCAATAGCTGAGCTTAATCTTACAGAGAATGATCAAAGCTCATGCAGAAACAAACAAACAAATGAACAAAAGATTTTCTCCTTCATTTCTGTCAAACAAAGCTGTATGATGCGTTTCCAGCTGTTAGTATCATGGTTGCTGGGCAACCTGGGCAGCGCAACGGAGGCTAGACCGTCCCATTTCACAAGCCTCGCACTTCCGGCCTTAGCGGTCTTTGAGTATGCGGCCCTTGAGGATCGTTGAGGCTGCGTACTTTAAGGCTGCAGACCCTGAAGTGGGATACAGCCTATGTCCTGCTCGGTTCATATATGCTTGCCAGTTGAGGGTTCATGGGATTGATCCATGATTGATCCATGAGTGGCTTGTCATTGGTTACAACTAATACTTTCCACACCTCCTCATCAGTGAAAGCTGAAGTTCACCTGAGAGAAATTGTTCTATTTAGGAGACATTTCCAGGAAAAATAATAACAAAAGGTATAAAATTTTCTGGGCAGAATTTGATAACTAAGTCAACAATTTTGTATGTAATGACTCCAGCAATGAAATGAAGTCTATTAGTTTTATTGGGAACGACTATTCAGCATCCGAAAGTAGAGTTCATTTTGACTGACATGACATAAGAAAATGATAATGTTATAAAACGGCAGAGAATTGTATGAAAGCAACTAATACATGTACAAGAGCATTTGCAATTTGTTCAGAGGAAGGAGAAATTGCAACTATGATGTGTACAAATGAATAAATGTTGTGGAGGTTGCACTAATGGTTTTGAGAATTTTCTGATCTGAGAAAAGCACCAAAGCAACTGAGAAAAACTGTAAATAAACTGTGTTGGATCAAGGACACATCTAAAACCTGCAGGACACCGGCCCTTGAGGCCTGGAGTTCCCCCGCACCTGGTCTAGATTGAGAGTGGCTGCAAAGACACATGCTCTGCTCCAAGCAGTCGATGTGCAGACTGACAGTCCAGGCATTGTCTGAAGTTCCCCATGAGTCCCGTTGAGATAAATGCAAATTCTTCATGCATCTGACAGTTGGCGTTGTTCACTAAGATCGCGGCAGATTTGCTTAATGACTAAGACTATATCTTAAATGTAACATTTAAAATGTGTTTGTTCTTCTGCTAGCACAAGAAACAGTTATGCTATTTTTTTCTTTATAGTTTTAGAATTTAAAAAAAATTAATGTCAGTAGTTCACTGTAAAATAGACTCAATAATATCCAGTCAAATAGATTGGCTTTATTAATTAGACACATGGATTTGTGTCTTAAATCTCTAGTGCATATACAGCATATCTGGCCCACCAGAGCATTAAACCACAGGTGACACAAATAACACCAGCTATCAGGATTGAGGTGCCTTTCCAGGCACCTCAATCCCCATTCACATCTTGTGTCAGGTGATCTGGTCTCACAATTTCTTCACCCAAAGCCTCTGCTGATAATGACCCACACCCTTTTTCACACCTTGGTGCATGTGGTGAGGCACATGATGAATAGTGGGTCAATGACCCTCTTAAGGGACAACTCCTACTAGGGATTAAATACCTGGGACTCACCAACACTGGGTTTCTGATCCAATCCAATCAAATCCAACTTTTATAAAGTGCTATAAAATACCCAGTACAGGACCAAAGGGCTGTACAGTAAATAAGTTAAGAACAATAGAATAAAACAAAACAGCAAAAAATAAAACACATAATATATAAAATTAAAACAGCCCTTTATTAAAAAACAAGATAAAACAGCATGGAATCAACTTAAACAGTTGAAATAATAATAAACTAAAACCAACATCTCACAAGGCGCCAAGGCCAAGGTGAAGAGATGCGTTTTCAGAAGCGATTTAAAAACAGGCAGAGAAAAGCCTTTCTAATCTCTACAGGCAGATCATTCCACAGTTTTGGAGCTGCTACAGCAAAAGCATGATCTCCTCTAAGTTTACACTCAGTCCTGGGTACATTCAGGAACAGCTGATCAGAGAACAGGTGGGCATATAAGGCTGTAGCAGTTCAGAGAGATAAGATGGGGCTAGGCCATGGAGGGCTTTAAAATCAAAGGTTTTAGAACTGAAGAAGCAGACAGAGAGGTGAAATGTTTTCAAGAAACGTAAAGAAGGCCACTCGCTTTCTTTCTTTCCCTTATACCAGGGGTGGGCAACTCCAGGCCTCGAGGGCCAGTGTCCCTACAGGCTTTAGATGTGTCCTTGACCCAACACAGCTGATTTAAATGGCTAAATTAGGTCCTCAACATGTCCTGAAGTTCTCCAGAGGCCTGGTAACAAACTAATCATGTGATTCAGGTGTGTTGACCCAAGGTGAGATCTAAAACCTGCAGGACACCGGCCCTCAGGGCCTGGAATTGCCCACCCTTGCCTTATACTGTCCAGTGGTTCCCAATCCCAGTGAACAGTAACACACACACACACACACACACACACACACACACACACACACACACACACACACACACACACACACACACAAAAAACTGTTGTGGTTGGTTGTAGCCACACTGTGCATTATGGTCAACCATGTCCACTTGTCTGTCCAAACATTAGTGTTCCAGAAATCTTGTTAATTGCAGATGTAACAGATGTAACTTTGCAAATCTAAGCTGTATTGCGATCTTCATTTTTAGCGAGAACAAGCATCCTGGAAACCATTCCTAACAAGTCAGTTTAGTTTTTTCTAATTTCACTGTCATGAGCTTTAACATTTAATGTGTTAACTGAGGTCTATAGACGACCAAATGAGTTTTTATTGTGCCTTGATATGAAAACTCTTAAAACTGACTTTCTTTATGCCATGACTGTACTGTAGCAATACAAATTAAATGAAAAGACAATACAAGACTGCTATGAAAGTAAATGCTGAGGAGCATGCTTGTCTCTATTCTAAGAAATGTTAAATGTGAAATTGAAGTATAATTGAAATTATAGTAAATGAAAAAAGAAGAAAATGAAAGAAACTCCCAATGACTTTAGATCAATTAACAAATGAATTTGTTCAAAATCATTCTTTTATTCTTTACACTCTTATGCAATACTATTTACACCAGGACATTCAGAATAAACTGACAGTCTTGCATGAAGCAACCCTACAAGCATTTTAGAGAAGAAAA